GGGGGGGGGGGTAGTAGTTAATAGTTTGATTAATAATTATATTTTATTCATACATTCTATATATATAAATAGTATATGTATATATATATATATATATATATATATATATATATATAGATGTATGTATGTATGTATGTATATGTATATGTATGTACACATACATATCTGTATACATCAGCATGGACGGACCCCTATGTACACGATCTTTATGTACACTGAGAAAGGCGAAATATATGTAATATCTGACTTGATTATAGCGATAGCGATCCTTACTAGGTCAGAGTAGTGGCATAGTGTGACACATGTAGCAGATCTCCATTCGTACATATTGCCCTTCATTTCTGGTTCTTTGGTACGCAATATACAAGCGTTTATTTTGGTACTAGGACATGCATCCTACTCTGCTCGTACGTATATTTGCGGTCATGAGAGGGTGTTAGTGTCAGTGTCATTGTCAGTGACAGTGGCTCTGCGTTGTGGCGCCCACTCTCGATCTATTTACATATTGCTGCGTCGGATCGCACTCAAATACTCAGCGATATCACCAAACTGACATCTGGCCAAAAGTAGCGAACTGTTTCGCACTATATGCACAGGACATGAGCACCCTACTCAACCCTAAATCCCCTCAAATCAAAATCATTGGCAACCCAATCAGTACCAAAGGCCTTTGGCTGCACACCGTGCACTGGCCCAGCATCAATTCAGCGGTGCAACTTTATTCTCTATGCAGTTTACGCATCATCTGTCTTCAGGCTCAGGTTTTGGTGCTGGCTTGTCCTTTGACTCCGCATCCGCCCCGCTCTGCGCGTGTGCCTCGGTGTCTGGTTTCACTGGCTCCGTTGTGCTCGCCTGTGTTGTGGGCGTGGATGGCTGCTGCTCTGTACTGTCCTCAACCGCAGGCGGTGGTGGTGGTCTATTTTTAGAATCAAGCGTTACCGTTGTGCTCGCCTGTGTTGTGGGCGTGGATGGATGCTGCTCTGTTCTGTCCTCAACCGCAGGCGGTGGTGGTGGTCTATTTTTAGAATCAAGCGTCTCCTTTGGGCTCGCCTGTGTTGTGGGCGTTGGTGGCTGCTGCTCTGTACTGTCCTCGACCTCAGGCTGGTGTGGTGGTCTATTTTTAGAATCAGGGTTTTCCTTCTCTCCTTTGCTATCCGCGGCATTCTGCGGTTTCGTCCTTTTCTTGGTGACCGCTTCGTTGATGGCAACCGGTGGGGAAACCGAGATTTTGAAATGGACATCTAAGAACTCGATCACTCGTTCAAAGTAGTTTGGTTCGAGATACCCCTGAGTGTGGGCCTGAGCGTACGGAAACCTGTGATAACGCACATGCACATGTTGAAAATCGAGTCAAGAGGGGCCAAGTCCTGCCTTCCTGTTGGGTATGACACATAACCTAACTTAATGATTCTTGCACTCCTCTCTCGAGATCCCCCCCTCCCCAAAAAAAAGGACCTGTTGTACAGGATCCGATGTTATCGCACATGCAAACGTATAAAAACTGAATCAACAGCCGCTGAATATTAGCTTCCTGATGGTCAAGTGATTCATAGAATAAATTATCTCCCCATGGAATCAGTTCGTACCGATAATCGCTAGCATGTGTGCCTTGGCTTACGAAAGCGGACGTATCACAGACAAAAGATAACTACAAGGATAAAGTCTCTCTATTTCTATTTTCTTGTACCGGAAGTGGTACTAATTTTGTGGCAAGTATGGCTCTGTTTTCGAATTCGATAGCAACAGTACTAAGAGTTATACTACAAAGCTAAGCTGAGCCGAACTCTGGCATATCGTCCCCCAATCAAATACTTCGGCATCTCAGGGCGAGAATAGGCCCGTATGGGCCAAGCGCTGCACTAACCCAACACCAAATTAGGGACACTCTTACGTGATTCTTGAACTGCAACTAACCGCCACGCGTGGGGGTTGGGCGCAGACCTGAAACAAAACGATACCAATCACTTGATACACGCGAACGTATATACACACACTGTATAGTAGAAGTAAACGTAAATACACGCATTGTATAGTAGAAGTAAACGTAAATACACGCATTGTATAGTAGGAATAGGGATCCATTCGGATAGCAGTGTTCTAGACCTCGCAGTGCATATATGCACGAGCCGCTGCCAACGAGCTAAAACGCAACACAGCCACAAACCCTAACACCCATAGGAAATCCTAACCCCTAAACCCACCCATTGTTAGCTAAATCACAACCCAACAACAGAGACGTGTTGTCCGCATACACACCATTCCGTGGGGGCCCCTTGTTCCGTGCGATTGCCGAGGACATATTCATAGAGCAACTTGCCATCGGCAAACTGGTGCCATTCATCTCTGGTGCCGTGCGCAATGAGCACTGGCGTATGTGATGCGCCCATGACAGCCGCCACGTCCATGTCACTGAAGGACCACCTGTGACAAGGCAAGCAGTTGTAGCCGAGTGAATGCCGTGTCTATCGTTGAAAAGTGGTGTAACTAACCACTCCCCCCCCCCCCCCACACACACCCTCCTTCTCCCCTTAAATACCTCCCTCTCTCTTTCTCCCCTGTGTGCAAGGAGACTGTCTGCGAAACGATACACACTCAAGCTCTGCACTAACTAGAGCAGTGTAACGCACTCACTGGGCGGTGAGATGTAGTGGCGAGTACGGTCTCCACGGTGCACGGAGCAAATAAACACTCTGTTATGACTCAGCCTTTAAGCTATCGTAGTCGGCGATCAATATGTAATTTGTTTTTGTTTTGTTTTTGCATTTTATTTAGGGCCAATGGATTGGCTGCTCTATCGCAATGATCAGATGTTTTTCTCGCAGGGTGTTGTGTGCATGAAACTGTTCCAGAATACACTAAAACTCAAGCGATAACGCTGTTGCAGGCTACAGCAATTACCCAATGCAATGACTTGGAAGATATCCGTGATATTATGTGTTCTCAGTAGTCTATGTGCCTATGACAGTATCAACATGTACGAACGCAGGCCCACCCCCTATTTCGGTGGCTGCAAGTTCATCGAGAGAGACTTGTTCTTGAGTAAAACATTACAATGCCACTGAGCCTGCCATCAACTGTACACACAGCAATTGGTATGAAAAACGAGATGCGCAGGGTGTATGTCAGAAAATAATGCGAAAACATGTATTCCTCTATTACCCTTGTATAGCCCATCTATCAAAGTATAACTATGCTACACTCATACACGCGATACATACCCTGCTACCAACTCCAGACACCACTGCCAGTGCGATATCCAGGTCAGCGGGACGTAGATCAGATACCAATGCGAATACACCCACTCCTTCATAGACAGAGCACCCGTCAGGTATGAGCTGTCACTCACAACTGCGGCTATCCGGTCGTCCGTAGCCGCCGCATACATCGCCTCAGCCGCACCAACGCCCTCGCCGAGAATCGCCACTTGCCCATCCGTGCAGGCGAGCGGATGGGTTTCTGTGTTGATTCGCATTGCAAAGCGTAAATATGGGTACAATACATCGGGAAGCCACCTGACAAGTGACTACAGGCAACTCAAGTGACAAGTGACTACAGGCAACTCCAGTGACAAGTGACCACATGCAACTCAAGTGACAAGTGACTACAGGCAACTCAAGTGACAAGCAATTACGGCAGCACCGAAATGAGATGAACGCATAGGTTTATTATTTCATCCCATGTATGAGTGAGTACAAATGGCTTTGTTCTGAGGTTCAGTTGACAAATAGAAGACTTCTAAAACGAGAATATAATCAACAGTCACAATAGTCATGTTCCGGGCGTATTCGCACAGAGTGACCTAATAATAGCTGGGTGACCATACAATAGTAGGATGACCTGATAATAGTAGGGTGACCTTATAATAGTAGGGTGACCTTATAGTAGTAGGGCACCCCTATAATAGTCGAGCGACCTTATAATATTAGAGTGACCTTATAATATTAAGATGACCTTCTAATAGTAGGTGACCTTATAATAGCAGGATAGGAACTGGTGTAACGCTGCACATACCTACTAGCCAATTTATCATCGCCTTCACATCAGACTGTTCGTATAGCCCGAGGGCAATCGGCGGCATATGTTGACTTAGACCTACAGACACACCCGACAGGTTGCAAGTCAATTGAAACATGACAGTGAGGTATGATATGAGTGATCTAACAGTATTGTGAAACGCCAGAGGCGGGAGGTGGGGAAGCGGCTGCAACGGATTGTTTGTGCACTGAGGACTCATGTTGACTCAGACCTGCACACACGCCTGGACAACCCACAGTTCAATTGGAAACTAAAAAGAAAAAGAAAAAACTTCACGTATGAGCCATTCAAGCAATGCGAGACGCTGTGGGGAGACAGGCAGCAGCACATCGGCTTGTTCGTGCCGCGCGAGAGCGATTGGGAACTAATGTCCACTTGTACCTACGAAAATGGCCAGCGGATTGCAGGCCGATAGACAAGGAACAAAAACTGCGAGTTGTGGCCGTGCAAAGCGATATGTAACCCGATAAGGACAGTAGACCAATCACCATTGCATCGGGAGGTCGCGTTGGACATAGAATCGGTTGATTGAAGTTTCTGTCCCAACCCCACGTGTTTGAAGGAACGCTGGTGCGTTGTGAGGGTTTGAGCAAACGCCTCATGAGTCTGACGCCAGTCGTAGAGAGCATATACTTCGAATCCTCGAGGGATAAACCCTTGCCATTGCAATGAGGGGTTCGAGTGTGCACCGTATCCGCTCCACACAGCCACAGATACAATAACGCCAGGAGAGAGAGACATAGCCACAGATACAACAACTCATAACAAACCCACAACCACAGATACAATCATCTGCAGCTGTGACAAATTAAACATTTAAGCACAAGAAGAAATAAGGCCAGGCGAATGAAACAACAGAGCGCCAATGTGTCATATTGATGCGTACTCGACGCACACCGCCGCCATACATTCACGAACGCTCAACACTCACACATACACACTCTCACCATCCCAGAACCCACACAAAAAAATAAACACAAACGCATATCTAAAAAGAAACACACACACAGGAAAACAAAGATGCACACACAGATGTCCACCAGGCCGTCCTTCCGTACCATGATTGCGTTTATCCCACATCAGCACGTTGAAGCCCGCCTTAATCAGCGGTCGAACGTATTTCGCCACCGCCGAAGCAGATCCATCGGCGTATTCGTAGTGCGCCATATTCGTCCCCAAGTCGTGGGATACCAATACCGTGTAGTTGTTCCGTCTGATATCGTATATCGGATTCTGGAACTCGTTTGTGCTGAAGCCCGGGAAGTACCACGTGTGCAGGTGAACATAACCTCGTGGGTCGTCTGTTGCGCATTGTACACACAGACAGTGTGAGTGATCAGATGTGCTAGTGTGTTCGCGTGTGTTAGAACTGGTGTGTGTGTGGTTTATGTAGAAGGACACAGACACACATGCCCATCTAACAATCAACATAGTCGCGCATAGAGGCCGTCTGGTAAATCGAAGTGCAAGTATCGCTGGCGCTATTATGTGAAGCCGATGGTATATCACTGAGGGAAGGACATATATAAAGACTCCGCAAAATATATATCCTCGCAGAACATACCAATGGTGGCATGACGCTCTAACGTTTGGCTGAATTTTGACACAATATCTGAATCCAATCAAGTGCAACTATACGCAAATGACTCCATATAGATACAGAACGTTTACGCATGAGCCATCCCGAGCACAACTTGTTACGCAGCTCTTCTGCACGTATACATGCACTTCGTACATTCGTACATTCGCATGCGAGCGCCCAATCAGTCGAGGTACTACAGACTAGGCAATTCCTTTATCCCCAGAA